TTAGGCACTCAGTAAATTTCCCTTAAGATAAAGAACAAAAGTGCTAAACAGAATTGATTTGTTAAGTGTATTTATAAGATAGATTAAATAATATTAAAATTACGTTTATATAAACCATGTCTATTGGCTAGATGTGGAATGATAATCAGTTACTAAAATAAGAAGCCCGGTTTCTTCATATATCCATTTGAAATCGAAGACGAGGTCTATTTGTCTCCATTTTCTGAAAATGGTAGATAGATCGTCGAGTAACCACAAAAGCCCTCTTCTTTAAACAAAAAATTGGATAACTACATCCTTGAGTCAGAAAAGGGGGCACAAATCATGATAGTATAATGAATACTACCCACATAAACAACAGCGATGGGCTAAGGGAACATCTTAAGGAGAAAATTGCGAGGCACTAAAAGACAAAACAAATAACACTGCTAGAAAACGTGATCTGTCAGCATGATGAGGATCACCCCCGATTGTGAAAAAATAAAGGTGGTATTCTAGCCCATCTAATAAATGATAGAACATCTTGGTACAGATCAAACTAAGATTTAATAAAGTTCATATTTACATTTGAAATAGGAACCTTCAATGAATTTACACTGACTGTCAAAACAACAAAGTAAAATAGGAAAAGTCACATTATTATGCCGTAAAATTTTACCGGTCAAAATGCGGGTTACTTGAGGGCGAAAATTGGTAATAATGTGGCCCTAAATTAAATGGGTAAATCTCATTTGTAAACATTAGCTTAAAAGGCATATTTTGGCCGACAAGCGCGTCAGGATTAAATATGCGAGTAGTTTTTTTCAATCCGAATATGCACACGATAAGTTACAAGACAAGATATGGACTCTAGAGTTAGCAGGTTTAATGAGAAACCTTGTCCAGGGCAAAATATCCTCGGAAAATTGCCAAGATTATTGCTAATCAGCATGACCCTTAGAAGCAAACCATCCAGGAGGGCGATCCCATGCTATAACAGAACTTGGCATTTGCGAAAGCGCTTAAAAGTCCGATGCTCCTAATTATACACACCGCCCAAAAACGCATGCACCTGATAAGAGCCAAGTGACCTATCAGAGTGGGCTGTTCAGCAATCTGCAACTGGTTCAAATCCTTAAGTTAACCTTGAGTGCACGACCAGTGATCATAATTATTCATTAAAACTATATAAATCAATTTTAACTCAAAACAAAGATTTGCAAAAAAATTTTAAGAAGTAAATTTAAGCAAATTTTAATAAAAAATGCAGCTAAAGTTTCTGTTTTTTGCAGTAGGTACTCTGTTTTCGATAGTTTTAATTTTCTCCAGGTATTTCGTATTTAAATAACGTCTACGTATTTAATTCCTTGTTTTAAGAAAGCTAATGATGTATTTTAAAAAATCAAAACACTTTCTGTCACAGGAGTTTGATATTTTACCAGTTAGCGTCGTCAATTGACATTCCTGGAGTCTGAAATTAGACTGAACCTCAGTGCTTTCGGAGCGACTTTAATGTGGAAATTGACTAATTAATTCATATGTTGTTTAGGCATGATGTGAGCTATGGGGTTTATAATGTGCAGAAGCTTCTTTGTTATTTGAAAAAAAGTAATTGAATATTAAAATTGTAACTTTATTATAGAGAGCATTATTATTGAGAAATAAATGCTATTGAGCAATAGGATATTACTCTTTCAGGATAGATAAAACACGATAAAAGCCTTCATAACTTTATTATGATTACAAATCCTTTGTTCAAGATTGAACCCATCATTCGTGCGAAAATATGAAACCTGCATTTCGAAATGGTGTTTTTTTCGTATTAACTAACCGTCAAATAGACAAACATGATGGTGGCAAATTTTTTTAAGCAAATATCGAGTTTGTTTAGCGTCATAATCTAAATAGACTGATTATAGGCGAATTTCCATGTAATTCTATATCTTTCATGCATTTTTCCTGATACGAAATAACATTCATGATTTATTCAGACGTTGTTTAGAGAGTTCGAATTGTTTTGTTACACTTACACTCCGCTAAATTTTTCTTGATAAATGTACTTTTATTGAATCGTCGTAATTCGAATAAGAAGATTTTTTTGCCTAACTCAAACACCAATTTTACTCATAAGCAGGTTAGTTACAAGACATCCTTTGTCTTCATTCCTTGGATGGCTAAATAATGTCATGAGAAAATATAATAAATGCTTGAGCGGTAGTTTACCATATGGTTTTATTCATTTCAGTCATGGTGACGTAATAATGATACCCAATGCCTTCAAGCCAAATGTGATTTTTGATGCTGGATAATAAGGGTACGACAATACGATAATTTCACTAAAGCGAATTTCGAATTGTGAGGTTCGAAAAGAACTACTGGAGGAAAATAATGTCCAAAGTGTCAGCACCATAAAACAAATTGTTTTTTTATTAGGCAAAATATGTTGAATTTGAAAATAGTTTTCGAATGCTTCGGAAGATATTTCATGCCGATTTATGGAAACTATTTGCGTAAAGCTTTTGAAGACCTACTTAGTACTATCGTTATTGTATCAATTAACAGGCACTTTACGATCACCCCTGATTCCGAACTACTTGGGTTACTTATCCACTTACTGTAGTCTACCGGATAAAGCTTTGAAGAATTTTGAGTTGATTAATTTTGTTCCTGTGGTCTGTAGAAAACTCATGCCCTGTTTAAGTCACTTTCTACTTAACTTTTTTATTAAAATCAATGCTAACGTCATTATTACCATTTTTAACCTATACTGAGTGGTTCATGACTTGACTATTATTCTGGTCCATTCAGCGTTCGATATAAAAAATGCTGATGCTTTATATTTTAGTACATATCTTCCAAAATTGATTTTAATGCAGTTTTCTGGGCTCAGGTTCCACCAATCTACCGATATATCAGTAAAGTTATTTCTACTTCAAATGTGATTTGGTGCACTTTATTCCTCTCTTACGCCCATACTTTTCAATTGTGAAGCAATCATAATTTCACATTGAGAAGACGCCTTCATAAGAGTATTTAGGTTCATTTTTTAAAAAAAATTAATTGATATTCAAGTCCAAAAGCGGAATTGTATAAGACCATCTAACAGCTGTCAACAATTAGTATGCTTACCATTTCAAATCCCACTAGCCTTTATCGTTGCTCCGAGTATGGAAAGACTCAAACTTTGGCTGAGTGAAATTTCTAACCCATTGTTCCAAGGATCCCTGATGAGACCTGATAATTTGGCGCAGATATTTGAATCAATGACATAGACATAGAGCATTTCCTACTATCTACGCATTTTGCGTTCTTTACCTAATCCCTGTTGTGGGTCTCAAAATCGCGCCTGGCCGTCATGCGTTGATGCAGGGTTCACTAATGTTGATACCGGAGAATTGTAAAAAGTTAACGGATGATTCACCTCACGTGTATTGATGTGTTCGTGTACATGCAGGTCGCGTGTACGCTGGCGTATACGGGCGTGTGCACAGACAGAAGCACGCTCAACCGTGTCTGCATGGCCGACGGAGCCGCTGAGAGCGAGGGGGGAGGGGTCGACACACGAAGTATTGGAAGGGGGTGACTTACCTAGGCACTTGGACAAGCGTCGGCAGAGATGATGGACGTGAATTGCCAAAACCTGCAAGACCTCTTCTCTTTGCGAAAAAATCGACAGACGTTTTCAATCGATGGCAAACTTTAAGGTGACACTAAGCCGTTTGCGCCAGGCGAGTGTCGAGAGTTGATTTACTACGTAATCTCTCCATGCTGAACCATTAAATGATGGATAGATGGCTTTGAGCTTATGGCTGAGGCCCTAGGTAAACACTGCGGGACAAATCATACTGAGTTAATTTTCAGTACTAAACATATTGTCAAGCTGACTTGATGTGTTTTTAGTAAATTACTTGACACCTAGTTGGTTCTTTCATTACATTTGAGAACCTCTGAATTTCAGACTCACTGAAGTCATGGGACGACCACGAGACCGTAATTTCTCTCATTAATTCCCGTCACTTGTGCATGTTACCGTTAAAAATACCTGAAACTCGACAAGTCCGCTGTATAATTCCTTTAATCTAATTTGGTTTAGGCTAGTTGCCACTTGATGAGGAAGAGGTAAAGTGAACGAACTATATCAGTCTTGGTTCTTTTATTCATCTGACTCATTATTGTCCGAATTTAGAGCTAGAGCATTAATATGCTTGAAAATTTCTTAATGATCGCTCTAATAGCCCTTCGAAGATGCTATTCGAGCAAGAATAAAAACCTCATGTAGCAAATTCAATTACTGGCACGTTTGCTGTGTGAATCTTTAAAAAAATTAAATCTCCTTAATTAGGAATACTATCTGGGATGGCCCAGTTTCTGTACTCTTTGTAACGAGTTCTACTTTTGAATGCTACCCCAGCAGTAAGGGGATTTTATCAAAAAAATACATTTTCCCGATTTTGGGTCTTTTTTAATTTGGCATTATCCCAAGAAACGATGCTTTTGACTTGGAATTCCGGAGTCGCTTGCACATCGTGTATGGATATTTACTATTTAAGTAATTTGATTTATGCATAACAGCAGACAACATGTGAACAACATGCAAGGTCACCCACCTTTCAAAAAGGCTACGGACCAAACTTAACCGAAACTGCACTGATGAGATTACTTTACACGCATTCAGGTCCACGCTACAGTGTTAACTTCGGATATGGGCTATTTTGCATTTAGAGTATGGTCTTATCCGAATGTAGCCCAGTTTTTCCACTACTATTTTTGAGTACAATCTCAATTCAGATTTGTGCTGTAACTGTATTATACTAAATCTGGCCAGGAAATACCATGTTTATGCGCCTAACAGTTATATCAAATATCCCCAAACGTCATATAAATGAACCTGTAATCGTAACACACGTAGAATGCTTTTTTTCACAAGTTATCTATTAGAAAAATAGACGGTTAAATGCAGATCACAGCCATCTACTGGCAAGTGTACACACATTTGCGAATTGTCCGGAATTCCAATGCTTCTATACTTCAATAGAAGTATGTGATTTGATCGTGGAAAGATTAAGCCAAATTTCCAGTCTCGCCGGACAATGGGTGAAGTCGGTACGACGATAGGCCGGGCCCCAACCCTTTCCGAGGCTGATATGGAGAACGGGCCCAAAGAGCGATTGGCCTGGCCAAGGTGTATTTTTGCATGCTTCCGTGAGTCGGTCCTCATAGACCCGTGTGTCAAAGACCACTAACGAGCACGCTGGCGCCACGCGATAGACGGGCCAGTCACTTGCAATCAGGTTACCTGACTGTACGAAACACGGTGAAGCTACAAAGATGGGTGTAGTGAGTGTTTTGTTTGTGAGGAGAATTTGTCCTTTGGGCAAAAGCAGGAGACTTATCCCGTCGTGTGATAGGCGACGTCGCTGTTTCGTGGGTGAGGATGAGTACGGTATTGGCTGGTTACATTTCTTCCGATTGAGATAGGGATCTTCGCTGAACGGCCGGGGTGATGCCGAGCGGCGGACAAGCCTGTCTAGACAAAGACGGCCCTGTTTTGACCAGACTTCATGATTACTGGCCTTTTCAGGAACGGGAACAGGACACAACTCCTCATTGAGAACAACTAGCGCCGAGGTAAGAACTGGGAGCCATTTGTGACCGATGTGACGATTGCATTCCCAATAGGAGATGTGGGACCATGGCTTCTTGCAATATTCTACCAGGATGCCGCTAGAGTCAGATTCATTGGTGAAAACGGCTTTTTCTTTAGCGGGCACATGAAACGTTCTGGGTATGGTCAGCATGTCCACAAACCTAAAAGAAACAAGTTGACACATCCTTAAGAACACGCGAATGATTATAATAATAACAAGCCTTTTATATGTCAGGCGAAGTCGCTTTCTTTATCAATGTTTCACTAAGCACGTTAGATTTGATTTTTAGCTGTGTTTTTTGAATGAAAGAAATAACTGACATCATGTACGTTCTCAAAGCTCGCTTACATAAGAGATTTTGCATACCCAGATGGTTTCCAACCACTTAAATCCAAGCGGAAGCGTAAATTAAAGAAGTTCTAATTGTTAATAATCTTCAGTAAAATTTGCACATAAGTTATACAGACGTGTGATAGAGATTACAGTTCGGTATGATGAGCCCGCGCAAATGGTCCGAGCACAATCTTCAGCTACATGATAATGCGCCTGTGCACCACATTATCACAAAACAGTGAGAATCATAGACTTTGATAGTAACCAAATCTCTTTCTTAATAGGCTTGCTGCATGTTTAGTAAAGGAGGCAACGTTGTTTAGAGTCAACCATATGAACAAATGGAATACTGGAAAATTTTGTGATCCAATAAACAAAACTGCAAACTTGTAAGCCACTATTACCTACAAGCGGAAAGTGCATGAATGCCTACTATGCAGAATTGTGCAGAATCGATTAAAATGTTCAGCAAGGGCCGTAAGCTGCTTAGCACATGTTGCCACGCTATGCCTGAATGCGGTGACTACCAAGAAACTACGCTAGACCCAATTCGGTCGACCGTAGGAGGTTTTACAAATTTTCTGATACTCGGGGAATTAGATATTTAGGGTAAGTATGATATGTTGATTTATGTTAGTATCAAGTCATGCATTTAGAAGGTTAGGTTTGAGCCATGTATCTGATTGGGTGGTTTCATAACCAGGAATGTGTGTTTTGGATTAGGTGATAACTTGTTATATTTATTAGAAAACCGCTTTAATTTTTTAAGTAACGATAGATGTGCAAGTTGACGCGTCAATTCCGAAAGCACGCTGGAACGTCCATAAGCCTTTGTTCACTAACTCTTAACATTTACAAAGGCGTCTCAACCCTTGACTTTCTACTCTGGCCTAATTACAATGAGCAGAAACTTTTGACAGACTATAGCATTTAAACGCCTGTAAGCAAAATATCACAGAAAAGTATTTCAAAGTCATCAGAGCGCTCGAAGTTTCACTTATTTCTAAAGAGCTTCACAAGAGTGGAATAAGGGACAGTCGGGTTGCATCGAGACTGGTGCACAAGTGAAAACGCAAGCTTATTTAACTATGGAAGTCTCATCACAAGGTTGTGACACTATAACTAGAACCCTGCTCCATCAAGGAATCCTGCTTCAGGCGAACTCTGGTGAAACGCTACACGGTTTCAAACCACCAATTAACAGGGCTTGAATATAGATCTTCGTCTGGAGCACACGGATCACTTTTACTTGTCTTAATATTGAGGACTTTCAGAAGGACGGGGAAGCCCCAATGCGGGGGAATTTACTAAGATGACGCCAAAATAATGCCCAAGACTCGAGTGTTCTATATGCTCCCACAAATTAGTGTCAATAGCTAGTCCAGTTAGATAATCTAAGAATTGTAGATTAAGCTCTGCAAGCCAAGTTATTGGCTCTCGCTTTCGAGCAAAGTAATTTAACATTCATCAACTTAATATGAAGGTACTTTTCCATGTCTATCTACTAATGGACCTTAGTGGTGTGTCCTGAAAACACTGAGATAAATAATTTCAACAAAAAGGCAAATAGTAAAATGGAGCCGGAATTCACCAACAAATGTGAAATAGTTTCCAGTGGAAAGTTGAAGTATATTCGCGAGCCACAAATAAAATAAAGGCGGGGTCGAAAGAACTGCAGTAAGGTGGGCAGAGCGGCGCCAGAGGCTCCACGGCCAGCCGAAGCCACAGGGAGGCTTTTGCCCATGGCGCCGTTCGCCTCTCAAGCTCCCAATGGCTTCTTCCCGCTTCAGCCTTTTTCGTTCTGCCTCGCTTACTAACTGCTGGCGCCGGAGTACGCTGGCGCCAAAGCCTCCTGCTACTGATTCGACCGAAAGCAACAGCAACTGGCTAGTCAGTCGCCAGGCTGTCACCTCCACCCTGCATTTAAAGTGCCGCAGAGACCACACTGGGAAAGAGGGACTTCCCTTGGGGTCATCTGCCTGTTTGTTTTTACTCTAGATGATCACCGTATTTGCTCAGAGTAACTGTATTGCATAATGTTCCTAAACATTATTTGCAGATGTCTCTAGTAACTTGCATAGACAGGTGGTCAGTATAACAGCGCACTTCCAATTTTTGTATGGTTACCATATCTCGGTAATCAGTTTTTGGTGAAGGTTTTGAAGTAAATCAATTTTTCAACTCCCCGTAGTCTTAATTTCACTTGTTACTCTCAATCTGAGCCAGAATGTCAGACATTTGTTTTAGAGAGGAAAACGATAGCTGCCCACAACACTTTTTGCTTGCGTACCCATACACCTGCTTCCATGGACAAAAATAAATCCTCAGAAAATCATGACAAATTTCGTTTTTATCCGGTAACTCTTTGTAAGCGCCTTGTCATCACTAAAAACCGCTGCATTTCGCACCGACGTCAAGGTCTGAAATGGCTCCCATGTACCTTTATTTGTTGAACGCCTATAAGTGGCGGCCGATCGGGTCTAGGCCACTAGTGAAAATATCAATGCCACATCAAAACTATCAGGCGGCTTCATTACAATCAAACACTTCGAATTCTTAAACGTTGGTCTGGAATAAAATGCTCCATACAACTTTCATTTTTATGAATTTGGTTCAGAGCTAGTGAGCCGAGTCTATTTCAAAAATTGACAATGCCACAAATCACAGTTAGTGAAACGTCATGCATCAATGCCGTTGTCATCCCTTCCCCGATATACTCTCGTGTTTGCATTCACTTAAATTATAGATAAAACTGCACCTTCCTCCATGAATTCGAAAATAATGTTGTGAGCCTCCAAAATTTAGGACTGAAAATGCAGTCGTGGAATAATGATCTTCCAGTGGCGGTTCAAACGTAATAATTTAACGTTTAGACTAAAGAATTACGGTCAAAGTTGTGCCATTCTGTTTGCCTAGGTTTTTTAAGAAAGTAAAACATGTGAGATTTAGGCAGACATTGTGCATCATTTTACTGTGAGGACATATCGCAAATTAAACACAATTAAGCCAAGTTACTCATAAGACAAATAGACTAGAAAAAGAACCTGCATGAATTAGGTGCGTGTTCAAGAAAAGCATCGAACAAAGCGGTGTAAATGGGGTAACAAATAACCACCTCCGTTGAAGTATAAGAACCGTGGTGACCTTACTTTTTTCCAGTTTTAGAGCCGACTAGGTGGGCTCGAACAGGACAGAGACGTGATCTGAGTGGCGTGGTTGGAAAAAAGTTGGCTTGCCTTTTACTGAAGGGACAGCCTAACCTTGATGACACTAAAAGATCCCTTAAAAACACTATTATCGTGTCGTAAGGGTCTGGGTGATCACGGATGGCCAGAGTTCTACAATGACCCCTTTGGCCTAAGTGTACACAGAGTACCGATAGTGTGAGCGCCAATAATCTTGAACGAGTCCCTTAAAACAAGCAGAGGTTCAGGCGTGTACAGCTTTGAGCAATTAGCGATAACTAGATATTGAAAACCCCGTGATTCATTTCGACTATTGTTATCGCCGAAGGTATGCGACAGTATCGATAAGGCATCTATTCTTGAAACTGCACGTGTAGGCGTAACTGGATTGTGTTGACAGAGACCGCTTCACAATCATTTAATAAATAATGGGCATTGTTAATTTTGTCATCCTTGTATTACTACTTGTGTTAAAACAGGCTAACCAGCTATGTTTAATCTCGTTTTCGATTATCATTAGGGTGTTTGCTGGGAGACACAGAAATGTAGTTACGTTTTAGATAAATTACTTCTCATCAAGTTGTTCAAGAGAGTCAAAATATCCAGAAAGCCAGAAGAGAGAGTTGGCTTAGCAAGAAGTGCAACCGTAGCACAATTATAACCACCAGCAAAATGCCAAAAGGATTCGAAAATGCCATTATTAAAAATAGTTGCATTTTCCAGAATAGTCCTATTTTTCAGTCGTGCTTGAATACATTCGAACGTTTTTAATAACGCCTAAGATATACACAAGCCTTGAATTTTGACTTGAGACGAAATACGTCCTTCGACGACGTGACTCTATATGCTGAATGAGTGGCAATCTTGCAGTCTGGATAAATTACGTAAATGTTTTGCACCAAATTGGCCAAGTAATACCGGAAAATTGAGCATGCTAAACATTTTCACATTCACTTTTTGGAAGCAACTACCCGCCAAAGAATTTCAAAACCCTCTTTTGATGTTTCATATTTAGGATAATATTGACGAGAAAACTATACTTTCATTAAAATCAAGCAATGTCTTCCGGTACTTATTTAATGCCACGAAGTGAGGAATATTCTCAAAAGTTGTTGTGTTCAAATTGTGGCACTGCTCGTCTTAACTTGGATAAGACTATTCATTATCGACTTTTGAGCCATTAGGCGTCAAAGGCACAAAGAGTACTTTTAGCACTTTGGGTCATTTGTCAAATCACATCAAGTAATGCACACTAATTTTGGCGTCACATTTACCAGTTTATCTGAAACACTTGTAAACAATCCGAAAGATCTGGCTACGTACACCATATAGAATTATTAATAAGAAAAACATCTATATCGAAATAGACTTACTTTTAACAGCAACAACAGATCCTTCGTAGGTATGCACGCAGGTCTAAAGGTAAATAGTGCATTTGAATTAGCCTCTATCAATAGGATAGCGTTGTTGTCACCAAAACCGAGCTTACACTAACCACAGCAGATTCAATGCGTTCGAGCCTTCCTAACCAAATCTATATATATATCGAATCAGGTTCAAAGCGAGTTTGCTTAGGAGCGAGCGATTGGCCAGCGGCCAAGAGCCAATTACTTGGGCTCACTCGACACTCGTAGTGGCGACGACTACGCATAACCTTCAAAGCGGCTGCGGCGACGTCGCCAGGAGGCCTGGCGTCACCGTCCTCGATAGAACGAGGCGCCGGGAAGCAGGGACAGGCGTGTACACGCATGCCCGCCGGTGAAATACTTTCCATCCGCGCACACACTGGGGTATACACCTGGCGGCGCCGTTGGCCATGCGAACGGCGTCAGAGCCATATGGACGCACGGGCGGTGCGTCGCTGTTGTATTGGTCGTGTGTCGCATGAAGGTCCCATATGGTATGCTTCAATAGTTGACTGGCTGTTTTAAACGGCCCTGTGACTAAGGTTGGGAGGTGCGGAAGATTTGCCGGGGAAAGCTGCTTGGCGTCTCTAGTTGTTGGGAAACAACTTCTTTCTCAAACTGATTTAGGCGGAAAATGTTTTCTTTCCGTACTTTAAACTTGGCCCAAATGCAGGTAGATAAAGTGTTATTTTGCGACGTTTTTAAGGTGCGAGAAAATTGCGGGGTTGACTAGGTAAAGTTATGCCGCAATCACAGACATGGCTCAGTGATACATTAGAGATTTCCGAACACATTTAATTTGCCTTACGTTTTACACAGCGTTCAATTATTTAACCCAGCAAGGTAAATAAAGGGTAGATAAATTGGATCCTCTTTCATTTGCACAAAACAATTCAAACTGAATGTCGATATTGCTAATGTGTTGGGATTTTGTTTTTCACCTAGCAAACGACGAAGTTCGGACATGTAATGCTGTAGGGGACTCGAATTCCTTATTTTCCCCATATGCCCGTACTCCAAATAAAATTGAGAAACAAAAAGGACTGAAATTCACTCAGAATCGTTTTTGGTCATCCGATAACATAATACTTTTCATGACCTCCTACATTGTAGGTACTAATAACGTTTTTCGAACACCTAAAACATCAATTTGTTTTTCCTTTGTTGACGTTCCATACACACAAGTTCCATTCTTATTACTTTAATTTCGAAAAAATTGCCTAGTGGATGCCCAACTGTAGGACTTTGGATAAACTTAAAAGTGAGATAATATGGTAATTTGCCCCAGCATTGAAGAATGCTTTTAATTAAAATTTTACTTAAGCAATTCGATTACTTGCACTCACAAAAATCCCTTAGGAAGCTTCGCAAAAATTCAAGGATGTAAGTGAATACTTGGATGATTAGGGAGCGAGTTTAGTTGATTGAATCTATAAAGGGTCATGTGTACAAAAGGCGAAAGGCAGAAAACTCTTTACTGGCGAAATACTTAATTGTGATTTTTTGGATTTCTACAAGAATAGTTTTGATGTGGAAGAATTAACACGTGTTATACTCATACGAGCAAATCCCTTTCCCCAGATAAAAATCTACGAGGCAATAATAACATCACAAAGATACATTTATCGGGAAACCACATGTTAGAAAGGTTAGCTTCCGCTAATTCGGTTATTAATCGTCCTTATTCTCTTCGAGACGTATTTACTGGTCAAAGCGAACCTTAAACAAAAGGTCACTTAGAAAGAAAGTACTCCATGAATATAACCAAACCGAAATGTACGAGTAAACACTAGACGAGTTATATGTCCTAGATGGTCATTAAGTGTGGTTATACACCAATTTGCAGACTAAGTAAAGTGAAGGCTATGGGCTTTGACAATGTCAGCGGTGCTTGTGCTGACCACTCTCTGATTGTTACACGATCCTATGAACCATCGGACAATTCGTTTGAAATAAAACCAAGACAGTTGTGAGGGCGATAGGAGATGGGGTAGTTCATCAGCACTGATAATTTAAATCACGATATGGTCTGCACCGCCCTAACCCCACTACTAGTTCGAGATTGGCGCCGGAGACTGTCAGCGGGCAGGCTGAAAGAGCCCTCCCCACTAACTGGCGCCTCTTTCAAGCCACTCATTTACACAAAACCTCCCCCATACGCGACACATCGGGTGTCCTTGGTTAAGGGGAGGAGGAGGAGGGAGACTTGAGTTAACTGATCGATTGCTCCGGAAGTTGGCGCCAATGTAAAGTAGTGGCATTGTAAATAATTAACTCAGCACATTACTTTTGATGCAAACCGTACCATCGGTCAAAAGAGTCGTGATTAGCTTGTTCAAGACGGCAATGTAAAATCAAGGCGTAGTTGCAATATTCATTATTGATATGCATTAATGAGTTGAATGTAAATTCTCATCCAGAAGCTATTAAATATGAATTTTCGACTGATGACGGTAAGGACTATTTACAGTTTTATTTACTTGAGACGTGCAAAGGAGATAATCGACTGACGGTGAGAGGTCTCGCTTTTTAAACTGCTAAGGTAGGTGTCTAGAGATCGCCATGAGTAATTCTGAATTAGGGGCGCAACGATAGTTTTATCTACTAGTCCACAATCGCGAATTTCAGTAGCACTTACAAAATACGGGGAAGCAATTAGCATTCCCTTTCTGCCGATTCGGCCATGCTCCACCCTTGACTATGCGAAATGGATAATCACTGAATTGACACAAGAGGAATCAGTGAAAAGACACCTCCACTCGGTCATGCCGACAAAAATTGATATTGGCATTTAATTTGGCACAGTGCAAATCAAGGAACTTATAACCTTTCGCCGATATCCTTTGCCGAACTAATTTAACCTTTTTGCTCAGAAGAGACAATCAGCTTTTATTGAAAGATTTATAATCAGTTCCGTCTTAGGTTGAGTGGGCGTCATGAAGTGCTTGCACACTCGTCTTGTTGAAGGTCGAGTGAAGATTCTGTGACTAAATTCTTGTATGTACGATGTTCTAGTACACGTATAAATATAAGTAGTCCCGAATGTCGGTTGGCTACTGAACACATTCTTGTAATCGCGAGTACGATCAAGGCATAGCTAAAGAGGTAAAACATCGGGGGCAGAAGATGCATTGCTTTCCTATCTCCACAGCCCTTCAACTGGACATTTATCATACAAAGCGTGTTTGGCACCAGATGAATTAAGGGAAGGCGGCGAGAGTTGGGGGTGGGAAGGTTTGGCGTTGATGCTGTCGTTGTCCTTAATTACCGTCAATTAGGGGTGCACACACACACGGAGAGAGCAACCAGGCGTCCTGCGCCCTTTCCCCCCGCGGCCTAATTGTGCTGACGCCAGCCCTGCGACGACGCCACTTCCGCGATAAGTGGCAAGTTGAACGGAATTAGAGAGAAGAGGCAAGGCCACGTTGAATTGTTACATGCAACCAAGTCCTTATTTCAGCTCTCCCATAACGGATCAGTGAGAGCATCGATTAGCAATCATTGCGTCGCCTTCAGCACCGTCAGTGCTCGAGGACTTAATATTTCAAGACTTCAGTTTATTCCTCTGAAAATATCCAGTGATTTTGGGTCATTTTTACCATGCAAGAGTGAATTTTACCATGAGTTTTGTGGCGGACGCCCACAGTTTTTGATGTTGAATCTTAAGTTTTTCTCTGACGAGGGAAATGTGATGAAGATTAAAGAGGCGTCAGAACCGACTGAAACAACGAACTTGAGCAAAACTATAGTGCAGAAAAAGTCAACATGGGTAGTTTGTATTCGCAAATAAGCCACATCAATACATTCTCATTAACTTCTCAAGCATGTTTCTTGGCACAATACGTCTACAAACTAGAACAACAATGCATAATATGGAGCCGTATGTTGGTTTATAGCTATCTAGGGTCCCAGGGTACGAATCCTTTCTGCGACATTTTAAAGAGGCACCACAAGGCAAGCAAAGTGCCAATGTCTTCCCATATTTATAACACCATATCGCTACTTTTGAATCGGATCCGCCCTTATCATTAGGCTGGTCATGTTTGTTCATGGATTGGTCCACGAATTACTGCTGAAAAATAACTCGAGGCATTTTTAAAAAAAATTAATTTTTATCAATGCATATTTTAGTGCAGCAAAATTTGAAAATTTCGAAACTATACCTAAGTCCACCATACGGCTCGATGGAACTTTATTGAGAACCACATGCAGCTCTCGCAAACATATTAGTGGCATTGCGCTGATAAAATTATGGTGTGCCGTAAATGCCGACCAACTTACAGGCCTATGAATCGATATGGTCAATTAACACACCTTGATTAGTATAGAATTGGGATGTAAGAATTGTTTCTTACTTCGTAGGCGGTGCTAGTAGAAGACCCAAAGTACTAGTAAAGCATTCTATTCGACCCTCTTTGTGACAGTGTCGCCAGAATGCAGTTTTTGTCCAGGTCGTTGACTGCACTCCATCAGTTTTTTTTAGCATCAATTTCTTCATCACACAGCGCACAGATTATTCATCTATCGCAATAGCTATTTCTGGATGCCATCCTGCTTAGTTGTCTCCATGATCACATTTAGAATATGTACACCAAGACACTGAAATTTTTTAATGGGGAACAAGGAAAATCCAGTACACATTCCCCTCTTTGATTCGTAAGAAGGTCCTAGTTAAAAATAAGTCAAATTGGGTCACCAATAGACGTAGTTTGCAAATAGTCAGGAGCTCAACGCACTAAACCAATTTTCGTTAATTTGGGTAGATTGGATGAGGGAAAAGGTACTATATTAAATAAAGCGAGAAATTGACTTTTTTGAAAAAAAACAAGTGCAGATTATTTGATTACTTTTGGCAAACTATAATTAACACATGTGAGGATCGTTCGAAATGAGCAGTTTAGGAGGGCTCTTATTTTGAGAATCAAAATTACTTCAGGTGTGTCTCCATCGTCTCTGGCCTTCTAATCCAGGTGTTTCGTTTTCATATAGCCGCGAAAAGGTCACCCCAAGGCAAGACAACTTCCTCGATTGGCTAGACATATTGACAAAGACATTTATATAATACGTATATCAGGGCCCCGATAAAAGGACATACATTGTTGTAGACTTGCAGGACATTTTTTCCCATACATGCATATTAGATTATTGCTGAAAACATCTCGAAACCAAATGTCGTAACGAATTGGTGCCTTCTACTGCAAGCGTATTTCTTAAAAACATCCATTTATCATGCTTATATTGTGTTGATTGATACTGAAATCTTGATAAATAAATGGGCTTTGCAGTCTGGTAAACCGATTTGTAACTCCTACGCATGTATACTGCATTCGTTAAATTTACCACAACCAATTTACTATAGGATTCCAAA